CAGGGAGGTCGAGGCTAGGGACAATATCCTGGTAGAGGCCAAGGCCAGTAAGGTTGAGGACAGAGTCAGGGCCGTGTTTATGGACAACAACAAAAGTTAGAAGCACCGTTGGGACAACAACAATTAGAGGGCCAGATGCATGCTTTAATTGAGGTACCGCAAGGCCAGATGATACCATGTTCTCCTATGGCTCAGTCTCAGCAGACAACAACTATCGGCGGAGTATATGCAGTGGTTGCCCATAATTATGGAGCTAGTGGAGCCATGATGGAAGGTACATTCTTTGTGAATTCCCTTTCATCCCAGATTCTTTTTGATTTAGGAGCTTCTCATTCCTTTATTTTAGTTGCTTTTATGAATAGACTTGAGATAGCTGCACAACCTCTACACATGCCATTGTCTGTTTCCACTCCCATAGGAGATGTGTCCTTTCTAGAGAGTGTTCATAGGAAGTGTGTTGCCCATCTAGATGAGTCACACTTCACAGTTGATTTGATTGTTTTGCCGATGTTAGAGTTTGATGTCATTCTTGGTATTGATTGGTTGTCATCCTACCATGTGATTCTAGACTGTTTTACTAAAACAGTCAGATTGTGAGCTTCTGATGGGACTGAGATTACTGTTGCTACCGCTCAGGGGAAGGAGTTCGCTGAGGCATTCCTTACGCATGTTGAGGAGGTGTTACTACATAATTGAGGAGCTATTATGTATGAGACCAGAGTTGTCTTAGAGTATCAGGATATCTTTCAGAATATTCCTCAATTACCTCCGGTTAGAGAGGTTGAGTTCTGCATTGAGTTACAGTCAGGCATAGCACCGATTTCTCATGCACCCTATCATATGGCACCCGCTGAGTTAAGGGAGCTACAGACTCAGTTGGAAGAACTTTCTTCTTTAGGCTAGATTTGTCAGAGCCATTCTCCTTGGGGAGCGCCGGTCCTCTTCGTGAAGAAGAAGGACGGGAGATTTTAGATGTGTATTGATTACCGAGAGTTGAACAAGGTCACTATCCGGAATAGATATCTGTTACTGAGGATAGATGACTTGTTTGACCAACTTTATGGTGCTTGTTATTTCTCAAAGATTGATCTTCGATCTGATTATCACCAGTGGCGTGTTAGGGAGATGGATATTCCTAAGACCACATTCTTAATGAGATATGGATCCTTTGAATTTCTAGTCATGCCATTTGGACTAACTAATGCACCTGTTGTCTTTATGGAATTGATGAACCGTGTGTTTCGTTCTTACTTGGATCAGTTTGTGATAGTATTCATTAATGATATCCTCATTTACTCTCGTTCAGAGACAGAGTATGAACAACATCTCCATTTAGTACTCCTGACTTTACGGGATCATCAGTTGTACGCAAAGCTCAGTAAGTGTGAATTTTGGCTTTCGGAGGTATGATTTCTGGGCAATGTGATTTCGAAGGATGGTATTGCCGTTGATCCATCTAAGGTCGAGGCACTGCTAGATTAGGAGCCACCAACGACTATTTCGGAGATCCGCAGTTTCTTAGGACTTGTAGGCTACTATCGCAAGTTTATTCAATATTTCTCCAAGATAGGAGTTCCTTTAACACGCCTTACGAAGAAGGGTGTTCAGTTTGTGTGGGGACCGGAGTGTCAAAGTGCTTTTGAAGCTCTCAAGGTTAAGCTGACGATAATAAATGTCTTGATTATACCCCAACAGTGACATATCATTTGTAGTGTATACAGATGCTTCTTCTTTGGGCATAGGTGGTGTACTAATGCAGACACAGAGAGTAGTGGTTTATATTTCTTGACAATTGAGAATCCATAAGCAGAACTACTTGACCCATGATTTGGAATTGGCGGTTGTAGTCTTCGCATTGAAGATGTGGAGGCATTATCTATATGGAGTTCAGTTTGAACTTTTTACAGACCACCAGAGTTTGAGATACTTATTCTCACAGAAAGAACTCAATCAGAGGAAATGACAATGAATTGAATTCATCAAGGACTACGAATTCGCGCTTCAGTACCATCTTGGGAAGGCGAACATCGTAGCAAATGCATTGAGTAGGAAGAATCGCCGCAGACTTGCAGCATTGAGGTGCTCGTTGTACCGAGACCACATAAGTCTTAGCCAGTTTGATTTTAGGCCAGAGATAGGGGGATGCATAGCTTTCTTAGGAGCTTTATTAGTGCAACCTTCATGGATCGAACGTATTATTGATGCCCAGTTGGGAGATTCTTGGATTCAAACCCAAAAGGGAGAGATAACTCAAGAACCCAAGGCAGATTGGTCTATTGGTTCAGATGGAAGTCTTCAAATAAGAGGCAGATTGGTTGTTCCAAACATACCACAGTTGAGGAAATAACTTATAGACGAGGCACATCATACTCGGTACACCGTACATCTAGGTTTGACCAAGATGTATAAGGATTTGAAAAGACAGTTCTGGTGGAACAACATGCGTAGAGAGATTGCAGAATTTGTTTCTAGATGTTTCACTTGTTAGTAAGTGAATGCCGAACATCAGAGACCAGTCGGTACACTTTAGCCCTTGCCCATTCCAGTATGTAAATGGACAGATATATGAAGCAAGAAAGCAGATAAGATAAGAACAAGATTAGCAAGATAAAGACTTGGATCTTTAACTCAAGGCGATTAGTCCTTAAATCAAAGAGCACCAAGCTCTGATACCAATTGTTAGACCCTAGAGGGGGGTGATTAAGGTCTTATGCTAATCTAATAGAGCACCAAGCTCTGATACCAATTGTTAGACCCTAGAGGGGGGTGATTAAGGTCTTATGCTAATCTAATTCGATTTTATGTCAAATTTTAAAAAAAAATTATTGATTATTTTAATCTTGCAAGAGATATAAAAGCCAGAATGTAAAATACAAGCACAAAATAAAAGAACACAAGGAAAACTCAAACACAAGATATGATCACGGAGTTCGGTCCCCACGATCTACGTCTCCGCTACTCAACTTGAGGAGATCTCCACTATCACGACACACCCGGTTTGGAAGCCGAAACTTCTCTACACACTCGGTTATCAAGTCAACCGACAACTCTCACAAAATCTCACAATGTACATACACAAGCTACAACCTCAAGTGTTGGTCCTCACATATCGACTCCCTCAAGTGCTCAAAATTATCACCTCTCACTAGGCTACCGACGCCACTCCTCTCGGTATCGACTCCGTCCTCACCACACACTCCTCTTGGTGTACAAGTGTATTACAAGTGATCTCTCAATAAGCACAATATAATAATGGTTGTTCTCTACACTTGACGAGAACTCAATTAAGCTCACTCTCACTAAATCACACACCACTACCAAACAATATATTATATGGGATACAACAAGCTCAATAACGGTGCGTGATAAATGAGTTTAAATAAATTCTAACTCAATAAGAACTAGCAATAAAATTAATAAGAAATAAATGCTAGAAAGTTGAGTTAGGAAAACTTCTCTACAAAGAGAGGATGATTTGGATATTGAGGATGAACTCCTCAACAAATGATGCAAGCTTTTCTTTGTAATACAAACTCTTCTTCAAACCAAACTTGAAACAAGGCTTAAACACCTCTTAAACACAAACTAAACTCTTTTAAAACTTGATTAAGGAATCTTCTTAGTTGAATAAAGGATTCACAACATACGGGTATATATAGCATCTCAATACATCAGCTAAAACCCAAGGAAAAAGACCAAAAAGCCATAAACACACAAAACAGAAAACTAGCCGATACTGTGCAACGGCTCTCTGATAAGTCGACTCATGAGTCGACTTATGAGTCGACTAATGAGTCGGCTTATATGAGTCGAATCAGCAGACGAAAAAACACAACTCCGCTGCACTTCGTGAGTCGACTAAACATGCACAGGCCATATTTGCACAGGAAAACTGAACTTTAAACCATGTTTAAAAATATCAAATAAATTCCAAAAATTGTAAAATTTGAAGAATAGTTTATAAACATATAAATGAGCATGTTTCAAAAGAAATTTTCCAAAAGTGATTCTCCGTTTGTAAAATCTCTTAGTTTTGCAAAAGCATGTAAAACGAGTGTATAATATTCTTAGTTTTGGACAAATGAGATAAACAAGGATATGAAACCTTTTCAAATGAATTTATAGACTAAACAAAAGTTGTATAAAGTAAATTTTAAGTCTATACACTAATATCTCATTATATTGACAAAATCACATTAAAACCAAAAGTGTGTGTTATGTGGATATTGAGCTTGAGATATATTCACACAATATAAAGTCATATTCTAGTTGTACCAAGTTGATATGCATGAGAAGCTAAATCTTGGATCTAACTTGAGTTGAATAAGCTTCGTTATAAATGTGGCTCTTGAGATACTCAACCTGGAGCAAAACAAATACTGAAGAACATATTATAAATTGTATGCAAAATCATCAAAACAAGATTCAAAAGTAGGCTCATATACATGAGTTCTAACAACGGGGACCGGGGAGGCGTCTTCATCGTCGACATCACTGAGAACGGCGGCGGAGTCATCGACGATGTCGTCGGCCATGGAATTGAGAGGAAAGTGTTATTCATCCGAGGAGGAAGTGTTGTCCATCCTAGTGATGTATTTGTTGTTTCTGTTCATCCGAGGAAGACGAGGAGATGGTGACGGGGACCAAGAAGGCGTCTTCATCGTCGACGTCGCTGAGAACAGCGGTGGAGTCGTCGGCAATGTTGTCGGCCATGGAATTGAGAGGAGAGTTTTTTCTTTTCCTCTCACAACTTTCTAAAGAAGAAGATCTAAAGATCTGAAGAAGAAGAGGGTAGTTTGGGGCTTTTTAAATTTATTTGCATGGGAATCGTAAAAAGGACCGAATCACATTTACTTTTCATTTTTGGGGCTAATACACATTAGAAAAAGTAAAGAGGGCTGAGACACATCAGGTTTTCATTTTTGGGGCCTCGAAGCATTCATATATAAATGAAATAAACCAAAATAACCCGTGCGAGCACAGGCATAACACGTGTATAGTATCAGATAATATAATGATTCCTAAAGGAAAGAATAGACAAATACATCAGTATATATTATTAACAGTGAATCTATTGTGAGATAGTCAATCCAACAACCCAACGGTTACCAATAATACATCAAAAAGCTTCGAAGAAAATTTGCACAGCGTGTATGTATTCAGGAACAGTAGTAACGACAGAAGAGCGACTCTTAGTATGAATTCTTGTAATAATCATGAAAATTCTGAAGGCAACAAAATTTCATTGGTCCAGAGCAATGCGACGAATCTTGCATACAAGGTGAGCAGTGGGGACGTCAAGTTGGCTTCCCGGTTCAGGCGATTTGATGAGATCCCGGAGCTGATCTCTAGGTTTTGAGAGGCAAGTGTGATATGTTGATAGGAAAGGAGGAATTGGCATTGAGAGGGCAAAGAGGACATTGCTCAAGTATTCGATATCAGCTGAGAGTTGTTGCGCACCTCGGTCTGTGATGTAATGGATCCCTCTAAGTTGCTCCATGAAAAGGGCAGTGGCTCCCTCAGCAACCTGACACGGTACAAGTAAAATTATGGGACAGAGAAATATTTGGGTTAGTTAAGTTACAACATGTAGAAGAATAAACGGTTAATTGTTCTATTACTATGTTCTATATATATCCCGATAGTCTTTTGAAATTCTTTCTTGGATACAGATTATGAGTGAACATGCTAGCACGTAACATAAAATTTCCAAACCCCGATGGTTTTTTTCCCAATTTTAATAAGTTATAAAGGAAATGGTTATGAACTGATGTTTAAATTGCATAAACTTAGGTTATTTTCCATTTTCTACAAGAGTCATAAAACTACAACACCATAAAGCATAACATTCTCCTAAATATCGTCAGCAATTGATGAGAACTCAACAAGTTTCTTCATCCACTACAATATGTGCTAGCACAATGGAATTGTTTTCAAATAATAATTGTAAAAAAAATTAACTGCAATTTTTTTCAATGACTAGGAAAATAATACGAGGGGTCAACTTTCTGTAAATTTGACAATAGCATGGTAAGACTAATTACAAAGGTCTTAATATTTTGATCTTAACTAAAGTGTATGTTCTTCCAAATCCTTTAGTAAAACAATATATTTTCAGCTTTCATTATATTTAACACAATAATGTGTTCAATAGGAACAGAATAAGCTTATGAAGCCAGAGTCGACATCTATGGAGGCGGTCTCCAGGGTCCAGAAGCATACATTAAGGATAGTACGTCGAGCTATATAATTGTATTTTTTAGTTACCTTGAACATCCATTCTGTAGCGAAAAACTGAGCTTCATCAGTTCCACCATCGTTGCTGGAGATGCCCTCAGCCAGTGGCTCTAATTGCTGTGGTAAAGTCAGAAGATACTCTCCAACACTGGTTACATATGCTTGTGGGTAGGCGCTGAAACTTGGGAGTGGGAGAGCACTTTGTTCCTCCACCGAAGACCAGATAGGCATCCGAGATACATCATTTAGGCGTTGACGTACTTTGGATATAAGAACATCGTATACGAGTTCATTCACTGTGTCTGCAAAAACTGCCACCCTTTGTGATGCAAGTGGCAGTGCATGGAACCTTGGGTCTTTTGACTGCATGAAAGAAACAGTACAATGAAAAAAAATGGAGACTTTCCTCTATTTCCGATATTAGGGCATTCACCAATACTTGTATACCAGGAAATTTCAGTTTCATGGGCAATGAACTTGATTGCTTCTTAAGCATTGCATGTATGGAAAAGTCGACAAATCTATGGAAGAAATAGCCAAGTTTGGAAAAGTAGAGATCACGTCTTAATGGGTCCTAAAACCATGTGAGAAGCATAAAATAGAGCACATGATCAAAATAAGAGTCATATTGGTGCGTGAAGCCTGTAGAAAGCCTTCACTATTCTAACTATGCTTAGAAATATATGTGTTGTATCACATGATAGAAAGGGGAAATATGGCAGAAATTTTGGCACTGATGCTTATGACAGTTAAGAATGTTAATGCATCTAAGGAGAACTAGAAGATGCAGTACCGCACACACATGGAACAGGGCAGGGCATTGGTCACTGAAGAATTTACCTAATCTTATGTATCACCATAAGCAATCTTCTTTATCCAATAACACCCACCCTTAGATCCCCACAAAAAAGTTAAATAATCTTTCCTATGAAAAGTAAAATGGAAGGAGAGAATGCAGGTTCTAATGAGCAGGAGAATCCAAGATTCGATGAACAAGATTAAGTCTGCATTCATGAGGTGGAATTCAAAGTGAAGAGTAACTGGTTCACACTCCTCTTAGGCTCTTACTCTTCTTTCCTTGTAATGCGGGAAAATATAATATTTTTTGTACGTTAAGCCTAAGACTGCATTATATAGGATTCTAGAGCATTGCTTAAATAAATAGGAAAACAAAGACCTTGAGACCATGTGTGGTTTTAAAAAGTGATGGAATTGAAAAAAGCACAGAAAGTAATTAAGAAATGCATCTTCTTTTTCCCTCACCTTTGTCCTCTTTTACTATTCTTTTATGAGAAGTAATAATTTGTTTTAAAAAAAATCCTATTGAATAAATGGAACATAAACTTCCTGTTAATAATTTTCTATTTCTCCAATAATCATGTTTGGTTCCATATGCATGTATGTGAGTGCAGTAGAATCTATTTCTCCAACTAATGTGCATCACAGAACATTTAAACAAACTATCAACATTGGATATATTCAAGGTCTAGGAAATATGCTCAAAGGCACCTGTTCCAAAAGATTAAAAAGCTTTCTGGTCTTTTCAGGTACATCACTGAGGCGCAAAGCTGCAACATCCAAGCTAGCCCTTCCTGCAAGGGATACTTCAGCATTCTCATCAGTAGTAGCACCACGAGATTTGTCCAGAGTTGAACCAAAAGCAGAAAGCGAGAGGCTTGTGCCAATCCTAGCTAGTGTAGCTCTTAAAGAAGCTTCAAATACTGATGCTCTACTGGTTAGACAATCAGCAACAGTGAGAATTTGTAATGCCCCTTGGACAATGGACCACTCATCTTCTTCAGAGACCATGTCCCTTACCCGTGCTCCTTCTTTTCTGTCAAATCCACCACCATCCTTCTTTGACCCCTCACTGTATACAGTATTATCCACTCCACATACCGATCTCAAGGACTTAAGGGTCTCTTGGAGGTTAGAGATATATTGCAACATGACATCATCAAGGGCCAATATAAGCTCATCAGCCTCAGAACCACCAGTGAAACTTATGCATCTCTCAACAGCTGCCTCAAGAAGCACAATGACTTGTGGGATGGATTCTTCCATCCTGCGCACTGTTTCACTGAGTTCTATACCCTGGGCACCCACACCACGGGCTACAGCCCTCCGGATGTCTATTCCTGCAATCTCAGAAGAAAGGATAGCACGCTCCATCTGCCCATACCTAATGGAAAAGGACAAGAGTTTTATTGGCATATTGCCCCGTAAACATTATTTAGTAACTAATAATGAGCTTGAAGCTTTTACAATAAATGGCAAGCAATAAGCTTAAATGCTATGTTATGAATAGAACAAGGCACTAGTAACTATAAGGATCGAAAATAGTAGTACCACTCAAAAACCAAATGTACTAGTTAATAACTAGATTTGGAGCTAAACACAAGGATCAGATTCCATAGCATCCAGATTCTTTAGTCAACATTGAACCTTGTTGCTTCCGTCTTTTGAATTTTAATGCATTTCATTAGATCTGGAACTATTAACCTGAATGACAGAAATTTAGGACAGGGAAGTTGTATACAACTTCCAATCCTTCAAAATAAATTGGTTATATTGTACACAAACCAGTTTCAGCTTTATGGTTGCCAAAAGAATATCACAAAAAAAAGAATATATAAAGTAAGTAACAAGAAAAGGTTAAGCAGCCAGTAAAAGCAAAGGTGAACAGAGTATGCCTACTTCAAATCGCTAACAAAACTCCTGGAACCAGATACAAATTTAGTAATTCTATAATTTGCTGGTTTTGAACAGTTTCCTATATGGATTTGAATAAAACCACTTCATAGATATTTTCTTTATTCCCACCAACCTTGCATAAGATATCACCCACTAAGATGCTTAATAATAACAAGTTTGAGCATGCACCTTTGCTTAAATGACTCATACGGAGAATAGACAGCCTTCAATGTACATAAGAGTATTTGAATATCCGATTTGGAGAACAGGTGCTGAACATTCCTAGCAAAAGTACCAGTCATATTGTGAAGTTCAATTAGTGCCTCAAGATGCTTATCCTGTATCTTTGTACCTTTTGGCAAATCTCCAGATAAAATGTCCATGATACCTGAAGTTTTGAGAGTAAAGAAACAAAATAAACAACTACAGATGAATAATATAAAACTTCATATGCCAATTGTCAATGCCAAAAGAAATCAAATTTTTGGTGAGGAGATACCATGGAAAACCAGACATGAACATCTGTTCCCTGGTGACAGAATTTAACTATATGGAGAACAGACAAAAAAAGAGTATGCAGCTAATACATTGGATAGCTAAAAGAGAAATTGCAGAAGCAAATAAAAAGTATTAGCCGAAACCTAGTTTATGGTGTACAATAAATTTCTTCGACCATCTAAAATGCTTGTTTATGTTTACAATTGGGTGAAAAGAACTCACTAGTTCCGCTGTTCTATAGCTTATGAGAAATGACTCCCCAAAAAAAGAGTCTATTCAGATCTGTAACTTTGGAGGGGAACCAAGCTATTTCAAGAAACAACATAATTCCATTAGAATGTGGGAAAAAAAGCAAACTAGGAAAAAAAACAGTATGCGCATAAAAGGTGTTATTGCAAGGCAGCTAGAACAGAACTGAAGAGCATCCAAACAGCCCTTTACTTGTCATATCAGGTTATAAGTTTTTATTAAACTTATCTTCTTTTTTGTGAAGGGTTATAGTTTGATATGATGAGAGATTGATCATGTATGCAGTTTCACTGCATACATAAAAGGCTTAGGCTTTGAATTTTGGATGTTGCATCTCCAAGGCCTACAGAAGAACAATAAGTCCAGGAATAAAAGTTTGATCAGCTTCAAAGCAATTTAAATCTAAAAGCTAGACTACAATAGATTATAAACAATACATATGTAATCAAGGAAGAAGATGCCTAATGTGGCAGATACATAGCTTCACGAGAAGTATTTGTGCAACATAAGAAGTTAACAACTGGATGATAAGGCCATAAAAATCACATTTAACTTTATCATTTGACAGTGAAATTCAATGAGGTGAAAAGTAACAATCTTTTGTAATTGAAGAATTAATAATTGCAAAAATATGTGGCATTATATACAAATGAAAATAACATGCGAAAAATGTTTGCAGGCCCCCCATAATCAAAAGCAAATTCACTGCCCCCCCCCCCCCCCAAAAAAAAAAAAAACAAAAAAAACAAAAAAACGCAGGGTCAACAAGGGAAAAGAAACCACTAAAAACCCCTAAAACCACTTTTTTATGCTCCTAGCCCCCTAAATATGGTGCCATGTGACCAGAAATTCAAAAAAAGAAAAAATCTCCAGAATGCCCTTGAGTACATCATTAACTCATCCCCCTTTTTTCGTAGATCGTGCCTGCTCTCTCAAATCATAACCCTAACCCAATCAGTTATTTCTTCTCTCCGCTCGTCTGTGAGGGATCTCTCTCCCCCCCCCTCTCTCTCTCTCTCCCCCTCTTCTTTCTCCCCCAAATCATAACCCTAAGAAACCAATCAGTTATTTCTTTCTCCCGCCCATGCTTTGAAGAATATGCGCGCCCCACCCTCTAAATCTCTTAAAACTAGGTTTGCTTCAATTTTCTAATAATGTCTGAAAACGCCCAATCGAAGATGGCTCCAAACATGTTGTTGAGGGGAGAAATACAAGGGGACGACTACATCACGACTTAACAACAAATGCATAAGCTTAACAACTAATGAGATAAGCTCAATAACCAATGGCTACGCCGAACAACTAACAAAAAAGCATAACAAACGCATAAGCTTAACAACCAATGAATAAGCTAAACAATTGACGAAAAATCTTAACCAAAGCATAAATTAAACAAACTGGCAAAAAACTTAACAATAAACACATATGCTTAACAACCAATGCATAAGCATAACAACTGATGAAAAAGCTTAACAAACGCATAAGCTTAACCAATTGAAAAGCTTAATAACTAAAAAAAAAACTTAACAACCTATGCATAAGCTTAACAACTGACCAACAACAAAACAATAAGCTTAGCAACCAATGCATAAGCTCAACAACTACAAAAAAACTTAACAACAAATGCATAAGCTTAACAACTGACGAAAAGAAAATTTGTGGGTTCAACTTTCGACAAAGAGATAGAGAGTGTCACCCAGCCCTGGAAAGCTTCATATAAAGCATTAATTTGGGGTAAAATGGGGAAAAGAAAAGTATTGCTTAGGTGGTACAGGACTTTTTTTTTTGGTTTGCGGGGGGGCATAAAAAGGTAGATTTAAGGGGTTTTTGTTAACCCGTCTTGGGGGGAATTTAATTTTTTATTTTAGGGGCTACACGCATTTTTCCCAAATAATTGACGAAGCCAATTTTTCACAAAATGCACGTTTAACATCAGTTGTTTGAAGTAAATATATGCTGACAATTAGGAGAATAAAAATTAACAAATAATAGAAAGGAGAACACACTGCACATGAGATCTATCATCAATAATAAAATCTCCAGTAGTCTCACATAGGTTATATATACACACACATAGGTACATATATACATACATACATATACAAGCAGTGAACATGCATGCATACATACATGTGTGTGCATGCGCGTGTGCTATGACTGTGAGCATGTGTGCCTCTGTGTATGCCCGAGTGTGTGCGTGTACGTATGTATGTACGCATACATAGTGAGGGGGTTACTGTATCGCTCCACCATCAAAGAGAGAAAAGATGGCTACTTTATCGCTCCACCATCACTTATATTCTGGTAGTATTGATGATGTGACTGTAGGAAGTTGGATTTATGACATTAACGTCACACTAGCCACCTTTACCCATGTGTATGTTTATAACATATTAAGCAAATCAGGTATAGAGGTGCAAAGTAATATAGAAAGATTTGCGGAACTTCTGAGGAAATCAGTCATGTTGAACTGTGAACTCAGTGCAGATGTACTTGTCCAAGGTGTTCTTTCAAAAGTTCGATTGGAAGAGTGGTTTTGGTAGTGGTGAAGTATGTACCAGGTCTACTGAATTAAAACATCTGCCCTTATCTAATTTGTTACCAATGGAAATTAAATGAAACAATTCACTATATATGCATATATACATATGTGTGTGTGGAAAAAAGTAAGAGCAATACTAGTCATGGGCTTTGAACGCTTATGAGATGAGGCAAAAGGAGTTACCAGAGAAGAAAGAAAAAGATGATAGTGTATGTGTTGGGGGTGTCGATTTTCAAAGAACAGCTTCATGGACATTGGACACACACCAGAGGAAGATGTAGCTCACTTCATTATTTGTCAATGTCAAACTGCCTCTAATTAAGTTAAGAACTGTGTTGCCTGAAGAGGGCCCATATTTCAGGGATCACAAATGAAAAAGGAAATAGAAGGCAAATGTAGTCGTACAAAGAACATCATTTGTTCTTACATGGTATTCAATACTCTTCTCCATCATATTGGACTCATAGATGAACTAGGAGATTCCAAAAGACATATTATCAATAACTTCGAAGTTCCCTCTCAACAATACAAATTTAGATTGTCTACCACTGCTCAAGGAGTCACTTTTGCATCTGTGCTTTCATGCTAGAGAATAATTCATAGAACTCAGGAACATGGAACACTAGAGCGAACCACGACCTAGGTACAATCGTCCCAGATTCACATAGAATACGACCTGATCAACCAAGTCCAATGAACCCAATTTGGAATTAAAATTTTGAAAAACAATAACTATTTTTAAAAGAACAAACAATAAAAACATGAGAAATTAAGCATAAAGTATGCATACCTTATTTGCAACATGATTCTCAAGGTTCTTTAACCATTGTTGATATTAACTAGCATATTTCTAAAATTTGACCCTTGCAAAACCTTTCTTGCAAAATCTTTGATTCCTACATTTAAGAACCAAACCTAAAGTGTACCACGTTCTGTAACCTAACGTACCCGATTCTTATTAAGTGGCGTACCACATTCCCGTACTCATCCCGCGAACAGGAATGAGCCAGGTTCCATGTAACTATGATGAATTCTATGAATGTTGTGACAGAACAAAGCATCTAAATAAAAGTGATATGCATCTACCAAGTGAACTATGAGACAAGGATCACTGTACTCCACCACTTCCGAATTCTAATTCCCGTCCTCTCATGATTTTCTCATAAACATGTCAAAGGACGATACACTGACATGGACCACCTCGACATACACCCCCAAGTTTAATAATAAAATTTCCAAAGTTCTGCAATGCTCAACTTTGTCATATGCAAATGAGCAGTGAATATTATTTCAAGTGTACTAATTATGACAGAAGAAATGATCTTTGATGCAAAGAAAGTGGAATGTAATTCTCTCTTGCTAGAATTGAGCTGCAGGAAAACCATAAAACTCTGCTCGTCGCTATATTATATATGCATCACCTCGAAGGGCTGATAGACTTTAGAATGGGAAAAGAACAATCCTGATGTAGGTATCGAAAGATGGAATTCAACTCGAGAGAGTAAGTTTCACGAGATGTAACCTTTAGTAAGAGTTCTAGTCTCAGGAACAACATCTCCGGTTGCAAGGTTGACACGAGAAGCAAAATTTGCACCCAGTTCAGACATGGTCTCAGTCAGTAGCTTTGGGACCAGAGACGAATAATCATCGGGTAAGGCATTCATGCACCTGAAAACTTTATGCTCGTTAGCTAATAGCAAAACTTCAAATTAAACAATGTATCTTAGGAAGATCAGTTGACCGTGCAATTGCAGTTATTGTGAAATTATCTGAACTTTTTTCCTAAAAAGTAAGCAGCAAACTTCTAACATGAAAAAGTTACTAAGCAAATAAACATCAGCCACCCACTGTCCTTAATGAGTATAGAAACATCAGCAAACTATAGGATTCCCTTGCACAAAGGAGCATCTGTTTATATTTTCAGCCACTAAAAGCCAATTCAACTTTGTGAGCACAGAACACACTTTATTCATCAAACTACGGTTAACTTCACCGATAATGAAACGCATTTGGAGATATAGCCTACATACCACTTCCACTCTTGCTCGAGATAAAGTAAAACCTCATCATAGAAACTAGGTAGCCAACTGGAGAATGAAATCGAAGAAGGCCTTTCACCAAGCTTTTCTGTCTCCAGCTTGCTCGCTCGCTGCCTCAAGTCAAAATCTTCCCAACGTTTCCTTAAAGGCTTCAAGTGCATTTTAATATATAGAAGCTCCAGTGATTTGAACCTCCCAATACGAATAAGGATCCGCCTCAAATCTTGAACAGCTTCAACCTAAGAAATAATATTTAACTTTCGTGTCATATATAGGAGAACACTAATCAAGCAATCAAAGAAAATCGAAAAGAAGATGGAACCTTGCGATTTGTAAGAGCATCAGACAGGCGAGGTTGCACCATCTCGTCCAGCCTATCTTCCAAGACTTCAAGCTGCTTCCTTACATTGGCAAATTCCGCAACCTGAGAGAAAAGACAGTATATCAACAAACAAGATTTAGTGAAGAAGTACTCTTCCAAACAAAACAGTAAAAAAATCAATACAATAGTTGTAAATGCGTACTTCGCCAACAGCAGAGAGACAGTGTCTCATGTTAGCCAAAGTTTCTGCAGCCCGTGAAAGATCTCCGCTAGCAAAAACATCCTCCACACTTGCACTCAATTGAGTCAACCCTGCAGCATCCTATTAATGTGGGAATATAAAAAGTTAAAATTTAAAGTTAAACAAGGTTTACACATTAAATGGATTGAACATATATAGCTTCTTTTTTTGCACTCAAATGAAAATGTAAAGAATACCTGCAATGTCTCATATGCTGCTTCCATCCGCTGCTTCACTGTATCAATTTTAGCAAGAGCAGCTATATGTTCAGCAGAGGTTCCTTCAGCCTGTCATTACACTTACATTAGTTCAGACTGCCACTCCATCAAAATAGATATTTCATTACTACATTAAGGGTGAATTCAAGAAACCCCTTTATCCACGCATACCTTTTAGTAAAGCTCCTGCAATTAAACTCGACCAAAAAAGTTCCTGAACTATCAATGTTAGGTTTTTTGCTTTAATTAATAGATTAAGTATGAGTCCAAATTTTACCCAAGTGCTATAGATATAGTTATTTTACTTCCAACCATTTGATTTCTCCCAAAATTCATCTTTAAATCCTAAAGAGGATGCACTGGTGAACCGCAAACAAGCAAAAAATAAATTTGAAATATCTTGAACTTTTCATCTTGCTTCTCCTCCTAATATTATTTTATGGCCTGTATTGACCATCGACGAAAGTTGTAAGATTTACATAGATTTTACTAAAATTGAATGAACTTCATAGTATGTCTATTAAAGGCTCTCATATACCGACCCTTAATTTGCTGCAATTTCTTCTTCTCCTATGCATTTCAAATTGAAGAAGAGAGAGATAAATTCTTTGATCTTTGGATTTACCATTAATTACATTCACTACCTAGTTTATTCCAATATAAATAGTACCATGGACTTAGAAAATCATAAACGAGAAGCTAAATATACCTATTCAAAAGAACATGCGGAGAGATAAAAAAATACAATTAATATAAACAAGAAGAATTTAACTATGGGGCATTACACATGAACTCGTTTTCTCCATGTAGGTATAAAAGCCAACATATCTATTATTGCAAATAGCTTATCCTTTTGTCCCTGCCCATATCTAGCTTTTCATCAAATGTTGATTCAAGCAGCCACTTTGAGAGATTTGACTTTAAAGATATTGATGGTCCAATCAATAGTTTAATGATAACCAAGCAAGTGAGCAACATAGAGAATTTGACCATATAGCGAATGATAGAAATTATAGATATTGTCAAAAAATTAGAATTAGTGAGGATAAATATGTTCTAACGAAAACGAAAAGTGGAAGAACCATAAGACTGGACGGTATCCCTATTAAGTTTGGAAATATCTTGGAGATATGGACTTAGGATGGTTAACTAAATTATTTAATAAGATTATCTAGACAAAGAGCATGCTTGATGAGTGGAGGATTATTACTTTAATACCGATATCCAAGAATAAAGGAGATATACAAAGTTGTTCAAATTATGATGGTATAAAACTCATGAGTCATACTATGAAACTTTGGGAGACGGTAATCGAGCAAAGACTAAGAAAGGAGACAAGTGTATCTGAAAATCAATTGGGCTTTATGCCCAAGAGATCAACTATGGAACCTATACATATTTTATATCTTGAGATGATTAATAGAGAGATATAGAAAGAAGAAAAAGGATCTATATGTGATTTTTATAGATATAGAAAAAGTTTATGATAGAGTATCTAGAAAGGTAATGTGGTGGGTTTTAGAAAAAAAACATGTATCTAGTATATATACTGATGTGATTAAAGATATGTATGATATAGTAACAACGAGAGTAAAACTAATAAAGGAGAGACTAAGCCATTTCTTCGTAATAAAGGAGAGACTAAGTCGTTTTTTATTATCATAGGTTTACACCACTGGTCAGGGTTTAGTTCTTATCTTTTTGCATTAGTTATTGAGCAACTTACTAGACACATATCGGATGAAAGCCCATGGGCCATGGTGTATGTTATTTACGGATGATAGTGTTAGTTGACGAAAATAGAAGATGTGTAATTTTTAAAGTAGAAAGGTGGAGACAAGCTTTTGAGTCTAAAGGTTTTAGAATTAGTAGAACAAAAAAAGAATATATGGAGTGCATTTTTAGTAAGACTAATAAAAGAAAAGAACCTAAAGTACATATTGATGGTCAAGAAATATCTAAAATGAATCATTTTCGCTATTTAGGATTAATCATTCGGCATGATGATGAGATTGCGAATAACATTGCTCATCGAATCAAATCGAGATGGTGAAATGGAGTGCTTCGGGAGTTTTATGTAATTGTAGAATATTATTGAAATTAAAGGGAATATTCTATAGGACGATTATAAAACTAACTATGCTTATGGATCAAAGTGTTAGGCAATTAAAACACATGGGCAAAAATGAGTGTAGCAGAAATGAGAATGTCATGATAGTCTTGTGGGTATACACTAAAAATTATGATAAAAATCGAGCAGAGACTAACCGTTTGATTTTTCACTCCTACGAGACCTAAAATCTCTTGCTCACTATTCCGTTCTCACTTAAAAATATCCATTTTTTCCGTATACAAATTACACCAGATTTAAATGTTTCCGGTTACTTCCTCAGCTTCCTCCTTTGCTATTTATCAAGACTTCATGTCCCAAATTTCTTGAAATAAAAAAAAAAAAAAGAATTCTGCAATTATAACCACTAACAAGTGAAAATGATAGCCAACTAGTCATGAAAATTTTAACAAGATTAAGTGAATTCAGCTGGTCTTTAATCCTTCACGTAAATTTCGTGGTAGCTGAATATAAGCATGTAACATGAATAAACTAATGGGATCCCAGTGACAAAAAGTATAGACAAACTAATAACTAATTGGATGACGAGAATTATCTACGGAGGGGCATGGATGTAAATAAAGGAAAAGGAGAGGGACCTTCTTCAGCTTCTGCAGGATGGAGTTGACAGCAGATCGGAGCTGGATCGCGTCCTCTCGAAGGCGAGCGACGTCTCGGACGGCGGCTGGGACTCGGCGGAGGGCGTCGGAGCTCTCTCGCTCGAGAGAATCCGATATCTTCTCGGATGCGGAGATGTAAATAAAGGAAAAGGAGAGGGACCTTCTTCAGCTTCTGCAGGATGGAGTTGACAGCAGATCGGAGCTGGATCGCGTCCTCTCGAAGGCGAGCGACGTCTCGGACGGCGGCTGGGACTCGGCGGAGGGCGTCGGAGCTCTCTCGCTCGAGAGAATCCGATATCTTCTCGGATGCGGATCTTAGATTCTCCTCCAGATCCGATAAGAAGCGGTCGATGGGGTCCTGCGGGTGACGGGACTCGAGGGCGGCGTTTATCCATCGCTTTGGATCGAAGGACTCCTCGGAGAACTCCACCAAATCCACCACCACCATTTTGATTTTCACGGTATTTTGTTGGGATTTGATAAGTGAGCCGGGTTGCCTCCCTACTGAAACTGTTGGGGTAAATTTCAGAAGATCCCCCCGGACATTGGGGTTTTTCACGGGAACCTTTTTTTCCCATCAAACCTTCTTTGGATATCTTGCAAAACCCCTCTAAATTTAAAAGCTCTTAGTACACTTTCAACATTGTTAAATATAAAGGTAGCGACTAGGTCGTGTTAACCCGCAACTCGCACTGAACTAGCTCAATTTGGGCCCGTTAGTAACCGGGTCAGGTTCAGCCCTGATTAGTTTCAATATGGGTCGAATTGCTTCATTTCTAAAACCTAGTCTCGAACTCGAACTTGACCAGAGAATCTGGCCCAACTTGACCTGAACACGGACTCGGACAAAGCCGGGTCTTGACTCGTACCTATGAGTAGCGGGTATCTTTTTCTCCAGAATTTGTAGCCATTAGATTTAATTTTTTGTAGATCTCAAAAGAATATCATATCAAAATGAAAGTAAGAAAGGAATGAGGGTAGGATGGGTGATTTCGGCTACTTTTTTGTGAAATAGGGATGCATAAGCCTTTACACAAAAGAACTAAAAAAAACATCCTTAGAACGGACAAGCTTTGGCCACTTCTTGCTATCACCAAAAGTTGCATAATATCATCCAAATGGGTTAACAACACCTAGACGCCCATAATCCAGTTGATACCTTGTTTGGTGAGGAAAATATACATGTTCATGTTCAATAAAACTGAATTTTATGAAAAATAAATCTTATTGTGCTACATGAAATTACTGTAACCAAACCTATTACTCTAAAATCTCCATGCTAATTAGGGTTCCATGGGTTTGGCGTTTAGATCATACAATGAAATCGAGTAGCCATAATTCATGATGAAGGTTCACCACCATAATAGGATGAGATTGAGTAAAGGAAGAATAACGTCTAGATTCAAAATTATGGGAACGATAACTTTAATGACAAACTTTCCCTTTATTACTAAGACTGCTCTGATTTGTTAGATCATATTTTCACAATCTATGACAATCAAAAATTTAATCTGATGGTTATTAGCATGGGAGGAGGAGACACTCTGTACTCTTAGAAGGATAATAGTCTAACTCTAATTTAATACTGATAGTTAATGAAAATACTAAAGTTGTAAGTTTTAGAGGAGAAAAAAGAGATTGGCATTATTTTTGGAGCTCCAATGAGAGAAATTATTTCTTGTTTTCTGTGCTATATACAAAGAACCACTCTATTTATAGAGGCTTTCTTCTCCCAATCACCTCGACCCCAAAGCAGCCTCAAATTAAACCAAATTAATTTACTCATTAATCGGAATAATGATCAATAACAACCTTGAATAATATCACATAAACAACCAATTTGTTCTCATGTAATAGGCCATTAATTCTAGTTTTTTCCATTTAACACTTGGGTTTTGGTTGATTTGGTCAACCATTATTAACATCTCCCACTTGGCGAAATACCCAAATGATATGTGATAGGGACATAATAAACATCATGCAAAGTTGTAAGAGGACAACTACCAAGTTATGATATAGTTACAATATCGGTCACATGAGAAAGGTGTGTAGGAAAATTTCTGAATTGAATCCTAGAAATGTGTGTGGACAAAGAGGAGTGAAAGTGTAGAGATGTAAAAAGTGTGTGATTATTTATAAATAAAAGAAAACTAGAACAAGAGAGGAGAAAGAGAGTGAGCAAATAAAAGAAAAAAAAGAATAAACAAGGAGGAGAAATAAAGAAAATAGAAAAGAATAAAATTAAGAAGAGAAAAAAATCATCATTCTCCCTTTTAAAAGAGGGAGTATGAGAAAAACTTTTTCTACCCAAAATACCCTTCACCTATCATAAATTTAACAAAATTAACCTTTTGTTTTGTACGTTATCCTAAAATCAAAAATCAAAAGATTAGTGGGTCTTTTGGGTTTCTCACGAAAATTTATTGGGAAGCTATTGTTACCGCCTTCATAACTCACCTACCCCTCTCTTTCTCTCTCAGAGATGCCATTACTTACCTTATTCTAGAAAAACCCTAACTTTGATTCTCTCCAAAAAACCACAAATCAACCAGAAAAAATCACGGGTCTTCATGAAGAACCATAGAGAAATCATGGGTTAGTGTTTCTTTTATCTCGATCTCTACATACGGTTGTGGATTGAGGTTTTAATTTATACTCTCTGGCTCAATGTGGTCTCATCTCTTTAGATTTCCTTCTTGAACTGCATCTTGTTCAAAGATCTCCTTTTGAAAGGTATAAAACCCTAATCTATAGATCCTATTTTGTCAGTTAGTTTTCCCCCCATCTTTTGGGTAAAATTTACTCTGTTGTAAATATATCTTCCATGAAATTGTTTATTCTTTTGTCTTTTTTATTAAAAGAGGAATCTTGCAAGATTTGTTAGATTGAGTTTATCATGTGTACTTTGCCGGCTGGTCAGCAACTAAGCTTTCTAATGTTTCTCCATATTTTTACAAATATATAACTTATGGGTGGAGTATGCACCTTAAGGCCTTATTTATATGGCTAGAATAATAATCCCTCCAATTTCATTTGAGATAGAGATTCATGGCCGTGTACATTTGGCATATGATAACAAATGTTCATGAGTTCCGATAGTCAAAAGTAGCTTTAGACTTTTAAACAATTTCTGATTTGAGAAATTATTTTAGAGATAATTTTCAATATAAATCCTACATGTTATTGGTTACGTTTGTGTCAATTTGACTATCTTCGAGTTTATGTTTCTTAATTTGTTACTGTATCTATCGCCTCTGTTCATTCATCTCCTTCAAAAATCTTCAACCCCCTCTCCATAAAAAAAATCTAAACGACGGAAAAAAAAAAGCAGAAGAAAAATCATAAAAAAATCGTAAGAAATCAGATAAAAATGAAAACTTCAAGAGAAGTAGATTAACGACAGGCGAACCCGTTGACCTATAACTCAAAGTGATCGGGAGATGGAACTCCTCCTCTGCGACTTTTTAATAAATTCTAGAGTTTTCGGCGATAGAGACTTGCTATCTTTGATAAGTTTTGGTCTGTGAAGATTGTAATTATTCAGTTGATATGATTTTTGTTATCTAGCTTATTTTTTCTTTTTTAATCATATTTTGGTTATTTTTCTTGAAAGTGAGAAGAATTACAAGTTATCCATGGGAAAGAGACTGTCATTTGAGGTTGATATTATCTCTGGTATTTATCTCAGCTTCTTACCTATCTTCATCTTTTACTTTTCCTTATTTTTTTCTGATTTTTTTCTTCTTTCTGTTAGAGAGAAGAATTTATTTATGGAGATCCATGCGTTGATCTTTCAAGTATTTATCTTCTTAGATTTATAGAAATTATTCTAATTGATTCCTTGTTATGTAACTTATTTTTTTTATTTGAAGTTTTTAAGCAGAGATTTATGGGCAGTAGAGACTTCAGTTGATTGAAGCTTAGCACCAAAGGTATTTATTTTCTTAAATCTATGAATATTAATAAATTTTGTGGCAAACTCTATTCATTTTTTGAAAAAGTTGAATCCTATATATAATGAATCTAAAAAATAAATTGAAAGAACAACTCTAATTTATTTAAAATTTATTTCAGTATCCTATATATAATGAATCTAAAAAATAAATTGAAAGAACAACTCTAATTTATTTAAAATTTATTTCAGTAATCTAATCTTTTTTGACATATTAGTGTGAAATTTATTATCGCTACAAAAGAGATGATTAACCAGTTGATAATTGATTATGTTTTATGAAAACATTTCATGTTCATTTTCCTTTCAAAAAAGAAGACATATAAATAGAAAAAGACAATGTTATAAGCTTAGATAAGGGGTTTGCGTTTAACTAGCCAGAATATAGAGTGATATAATATTTTTCTTCAAAGAAAATGGAGAGGAACAAAAGAAGTCTTAGCATATATAACTATAACTGTTACTCGCCGAACTATAGGAAACAGAATATCATCATGCCTGGATAATTGAAAATTGAACTGATGGCGGAACTCATAAATACAGTAATTTTCTGCCAATCTAATAAAGAAATGCTTGAATCTGAAGTTTACAACATAGAAATCAACCTGATGGGTCCAAGCAGCTTCAACTAAATGTGTGCCATACTCCTCAAGCATTTCACACAATAGTAAAAAGACCTTTCATCTTTCTTGACTACTCAAATACCCATCATGACACATGAGATGTGCACGTTAGAAGATTTTAAAATATTTTTTCACAGATTCATGTGAAAGATTCCACATGATTTGTTTACTATTTGATTGGTAAAAGTAAAATTAATTACCAATCATACCTTTAAAATTGGAATTCTCAATACTGAACAATTGCATTTAAAATATTGGAAATTAATTACCAATCATACCTTTAAAATTGGAATTCTCAATACTGAACAATTGCATTTAAAATATTGGAACGCATGAACCACCATAGGTCTATCCCTCAGAACAAAGATCAAATTATCTTGTTTACCACCATTTTGTTTGACCAGGCAAGCTAAGGAATATGACCTGAAAGGATTGGAACACACTTACAATTTCTTGTAGAATTCATTGCTGGTGTTTTTCCACACTTGGACCAATACGAGTCTGCCCCTGAGGACAAGTCTCAAATTATCTCATGACCACTATTTTGTTGGTGCTTCAGCTGTTTGGAAAGTTGCTTAGGGATTTTAGTGCATGCTTCGTCCAAATTTGTTGTGGTGAAGGTAGAAATGTATTATTTTTTAGGACCTATAGTCTAGCCGTGGCTTTCCCTTTTTCCATGAGTTGTCCAAGGACCAACCTGCTTCAGAGGTTTCTCGGTTACACTATAGATGTACTAGAGATTGCATATTTCCCCCCTAATTCTTGTTGGTGGTCTAAAGCTTCTAGGAGTTTTTTTGAAGATTCCTTTTTTATAAGTTTGTGAATGATGTTGAGTTTATACTCCTCAGAATACAGTTTTTCAAAGAATGCTGCTCCTCAAATTAAACTCTTAAATGCTGACAATCTCAGGAACAAGAATGTTATTTGCACCAACCTTGTGCTTTTTGTAATAAATATTAGAATTGGCTTTCTCTTAAATAATTTCAG